GCTTGCCAGGCAGGCGCTTTGCCGCTGAGCTAAATCCCCAGCCCCGATCAAGAATTATTTAAATAATTTTAACTAATTTATGTCTCTAGGCTGTGCTTCAAAGGTACTGTACCTGTATAGACAAACTTAAGGATATATGTCTCACCTGACTGTTTTTATGTGAGGTATTTCATGTTAATGACAAAGAAGATGTATATTTCTAGATAATTAACATTTTTCTTTGATCTTATTTTAAACAGCTAATAATTTTAGTGACCCAGATTCAAGCAATAATACTTTCCTTTGGAAATATCACATGGTTTTGCCTGTGTCTGCTGTTCTAGAGGAAGGAAGGTAAGCCATTTTTCACCATTAATGTTGAAATAACTTTGCTAAGTTTAATATTGAAATAACTCTGTGCGTGTGTGTGTGTGTGTGTGTGTGTGTGTGTGTGTGTGTGTGTTGCTGGGGGCACTAACCCAGGGCTTTGTGCACGCCTGGCAAAGAATTCTCCCACTGAGCTACATTCCTAGCTCAGTATTTTTCTCTTTTCAAAAGTCAGGAGTCCTATTTACTTTAGTTTCCCCTCATATAGAAAGCTCTGTATTATTTATTGATAGTGTATCACGATTCCTCAATGGAATATGTTGAGATTGTGTTATTTCTGCTCTGGAGTTAATATTTAGTGACTTTCTCAAAGTCATACTGATGTTTTTTAGAGCAGGATTTCATTGAATATTTCCCCCTCCTACAGATTCTCTTTGCTATGTGCTCAGCTAACTTATATTGCATTGCCATTGTCAACCTGAGTAGTTTATTTCTATACATTTAACCACCAGGCATATGTTTTCTTTATCTCTTCTAAACTGATATAATTGAATTTGTTTGGTTGATTATTGCTTTAGTTAGAAACTACCTAGGGTACTAAGAGTATAGATACTGACTTTGTTTTGGAGTTTTGAGAATGTGGGTTTCAGATATTTTGTATTTTGTGAGTTGAGAGTAAAACTTTTATAGTAGTCTTTTCTATCTTTTGCAAGCATTCATCTTCATTCTTGAACATCTTTCTTGTAGATTAATTTTTTAGATGATTTATATCATCTTTCCCTTGTTACTATTTTTCTCCATCCTTTTTGTGACTTAATCCAAATAATTTTCTGTGTAACTCACCCTTGTACATCATTATCTTACTAGGAAAACTTACTTATCCAACTCTGTAGTTGTCTAGTAGCTAAACAGCAAAATAGTAATACTGTAGCTCCTAATATCATAATGGTTATCTGTTCATTGTATAAAAGGTTCAGAGATGCCTTTGTGATTTGGGAAAAAATAGCTATATTTTTTTTCTAAAAACGCAGCAAACAGCACTACACAGTGAGCTAAGATTGCCCAAGGAAATTTTTGATTAAGGTTGATGCATGATGATAGCAAGTGTTGGAATTGGCATCTAGACATTAAATTTCACATGAGAATCTAGCTTCCTATTCTGCTTTTCCTTCCTGAAGGAAAAGTATTTTTTTTCTTTTGGTGTGGTACTGGGGATTGCACTTAGGGTCTTGTGCATGCTAGGCAAGCGCTCTACTGCTAAACTGCATCCCCAGCCCCGTGAAGAAAAAGTAAACCTTAACTTTGTGTAGAAGGTATGATGCTGCTGTTGTAGGAGTGAAGAAACAGGCTTTTTCTGATAATTGACCAATAAGGTTAACCAGTGAATTGGTAGATGTTTTTAAAAAATCTATTAAATTAAATTAATATTTAATTTAATATAAATTAAATATTTAGGTGTTTATTCAGGAAATATTTAACTTGTAATAATGATGTAGAATCTAAATGATCCCATAATGTTTGATTGTCTATGTATCATTGCTTTATAAAAGATATGAAGTGTATTTAATAATTTATATATTATTATTTAAAAACACTGTTATCATATGTTAGGTAACTTACCTGTAATTGACAAATTCAGATCTGTTATTTACTCTTTTTAGTGAATATTATATATTACTTTATCAATCAGTAAGGTGTGGTGATAAAAAATGAGTTTTTTACAGATGCATTTTCTGTTCCAGCATGGAAGAAGCTTAGAGGTCATCACTTTGTTAATAACACATAAAAAGCCCAATAAACTGAAAAGTCAAACTCTTCTAAAATTAATCAGAGAAGTGAGGTCACAGGACAGACTGCTGCCCTCAAAAGTGGAGATACAGACAGAAACTACAGATAATAATAACTTACTGCAGCAGAAAAAGTTTTCTCCAGGGGCAGAAACTTCCATAGGAATCAGTGCCAGGTAGGAAAACCTAAATTGTAAGAATTACTGGAGGTTTCGTGTGGACAAGTTTAAGAATTAAAAAGTCCTGGAGGACCCACTCATATGTACCGCCCATACTTACATGGTTTATACCTCTAGGAGTTCAACCTGTTCCTTACAGTGAATATCAGAGAAAAAAAAATACCCGATGCTCCCAGCAGGGAAACAAGAAACCTGTTTTTAAATTTTGAGTTGCCTGATGTCCAAAGTCAGATACATAGTTTGTCTACTTTTCTAGTTGTATATATTTAGAGAGTAATAATTTTTTTTTTTTTTTTTTTTAATCTCTGTATTGGGGATTGAGCCCAGGGTATCACACTGCTAGGAGAGTGCTCTGCTACTGACTTACACCCTATCCCTTAAAAATAGAACAACAACAGTAACAACAACAGCAACAACAACAACAACATTTTGGTTTTGATACAGGCTTTCACTAAACTGCCTAGGCTCACCAAAACTTGCAGTCCTTCTGGTTGGCCTCTAAAATAGCTGGCATTATAGTACGCATGCTGTTCCCAGCTGGAGAGTAATTCTTGACTCTTCCTCAGAGGTAGAAGATGATACTCTTAGCAAATGATGTATCCTGCGTATTTCGGATTGAGTTCAGATACCATTATGTATAATAATTCATTTGTTAAATGGTTGCTTACATTAAATTTATTTTAATAGCAACATTTCTCTTATTCTTTCATACACAGCTATAAATAAAACATTCGTTAGCTGCATTTTTACAAAAAACAGTCAAATGGTGCATTAAAGTTTGTATAACTCTAGTGATTTATAATACAGTAGTTCATTATTTTTGGTCCATCTGTGCCTCGCTGAAGATCATACCCTATACTTTGGTCCCCTCTCTGTTTTCCTTCCTCCTCCTCAACAACACCTAGAGTAATAACAAAAAAGCTTAACATAACTTAACTCTTATCTAGTATAAGAACTTGAGACCAATAAAAATACTGGTTTTTATTATTTGAGATATAGTGAGATACAAGCCGTAACAGCGGCCGAGTCTTGATGTGGTAGATCTGTCTGTTAACAGTGCAGTTTGGGGTTGACTATTCTCCACAAATAGCCAAGGAGGCAAACCAAGCCTCGAGCACACGGCCTTTGGGGGATGTTTTAGATCCAAACCATAACTCTCCCTAATTAGTTTAAAGGTGTTGGCACTTGGGAATAGAATGCAAACATAAATTGGTGGGGAAAAAATGAGAACGTGTCATTAAATACTGTATTAAGAAATAAGAATGTATTTGGTGAAAAACATGCTTGGCCCTCTTTTTTAAAAAATAGGGTTTGAAATACTCATGAAAGAGTTAAATTAATGGTTTTCATGGCTATGGTCAACTCATTTGGTGTATGAATTTCATGTTTTATCATATATTGTTTACTACCTGATTGTCATTTATGTCTGTTGTGTTCGTGGAATAGGGACCTGAAATGCTTGGGAAAATGTTTGAAAATGAGCCAGTATTAGCACTGTGATTTGTATGTTGATGCCCATGTTTAACAAAGGCATTTAAAAATCTGACATATTTTTAAAATAATTTTTTATTAGTACATGTTTGCAGTTTGCAGTCATCTTGTGTAGTGGTTACATGTATGTATTACAGCTTGTTTCTTTTTCTTTTTTTTAATGTCCCTCCCCCTTTCCTCTCCTCCTCCAGTTTCTCAGCTCCTTTTTCATACTCACTGGTATTAGTTGTCCTAGCTCATATTACGGCATATAGTGTTTGCATTATTTGGGGTTATTAGGTTCCTGTACATGGTGCGTCTTTATTCTTACTATACCCCTTTCCTCTCCTCCTCACCCCTTGCCGTTGTTCCCTTGGACCACCTCTCTATTGAAAGAGATTTGTACCTTTGTCTCTTTTTATCCATTGTTGTCATTTTCTTTGTACTTTACCTCATTCAAATGAGAGATATCAACCATATGGTACTTAAGCTTGTGTGTCTGCTTTATTTCGCTCAATAGTATATTTTCCAGGTGCATCCATTTTCATACAAATGTCTTAAATGTATCATTCTTTATAGCTGAGTAGTATTCCGTTATATATAGGGACCACATTTTCTTTACCGAGTCCTTTGTTTATAGGTATACAGGCTGGTTCTAGGATTTAGCTATTGTGAATTGTGCTACTATAAACATTGGTGTGCAGGTATTGCTGTAGTATGATGACTTAAGCTCTTAGGGGAAGATGCCTAGCAGAGGGATAGCTGGGTCATGTGGAATTTATAATTTCAGTTCTTTAAGAAACCTCCATACTGATTTCTATAATGGTTGTACTAATTTGCATTCCCACCAACAATGCAAGAGGGTTCTTTTTTTCACTGCAGCCATACCAGCATTTGTTATTGTTTGATTTCCTACTGATTGCCATTCTTTCCAGAGTAAGAAGGAATCTTATTGTTTTAATTTGCATTTCTCAAGTGGCCAGAGATGTTGAACATTTTTTCATATATTTGTTGATCAGTTGTATTTCTTCTGCTGTGAAGTGTCTGTTCATTTTTCTTGCCCATTTCTTGAATAGGTCTTTAATTATAGGTGGTTTAATGTTTTTGTATTTTTATATATTATAGATTTTAGTCCTCTGTCTGAGTAGCTGGCAAAATTTTTTTCCCATTCTGTAGATTGTCTCTTTCCTCTATGACTGATTCTTTCACTGTACAGAAGCTTTTTAGTCTGATAGAATCCCATTTGTTGATTTTTGCTGCTATTTTTTGTGTGATTGAGGCTCTGTTTCAGAAATCATTTCTTATACCTATATCTTCAAGTGTTTTACCTATTTATCTTCCAGAAGGTTTAATGTTTCTGTTTTAATATTTAGATCTTTGATCCATTTTGATTTTAATTTAGTATATAGTGAGAGATAAGGGTTCAGTTGCATTCTTCTGCAAACAGATAACCAGGCTATATGTATATTGGGTCCTACTGATGTTAAGGGTATGTTATTATATATTTAGAAAGGGATATTTAGAAAGGGGTAACAGGAAAAACTGTGTATAATATTGGTAGTGGGAAATGGGGATGGGAAGAGATTCTATG